AAAATAAAATAAAAGGAGAACGGGGAACGCTTCCCACACCCGCCTACAGTGCACCCGCATGAAGCCCGTTTGACCACACACTGCTGCTGTTGAGAACAGTATTGGTCGGGGTATAGTCTATAGCTTACTACATGTTTGCGTGCACGCCCGTTCACCCCCCCCTCTCATCCTCTTTTGTCGTACTCTTTGTCATACATGTCGCATAACCTACCCATCCCTCCGGGCCCAACGTGGGGAAGGAGGTCTCCTCATTGTGTTCTACAAGCTGCCTGTTGGAGTGTGTTGTCCTATTATTCGTCATTTTGCCCCGCGGGATATGCATGCAAGATTTTCGAAGCTTGATTTTCGAGGCGCGAAGGGAGTAGACTGCATGTACAGCAGTACCGTCAAAGTCAATTCATGTCCGTCATCAAACCCTGTGTGTGTGTGTGTGTGTGTGTGTGTGTGTGTCCAGTTTCCGCGCGGGAGTTGCTGAGTTCGCATGGGTCTAGAGGGGAGCTCGCACAGCGGTTTCACGGTATCCACCAGCTATTATTATTATTTTGTTTGCCCTCCGACAATTGCAGATAAATGCAGACATACATAAAAAGTCGATCGTAAAGGCCGTGATTCCAAGCCAAATTAACTCGATGCCCAATAGCTAGGAATGTTTGCCTCTAAGTCAACAAAACTTTTGTCGAAACACTACAGCTGAACTCTAGGCACGAACCTTAGATGGAGAAAAACGAACAAAACCCCAACCTCATCCACCCGAAATCAAACAAAACTCGGCCCCGTCTTCCCTGGTACCCCTGACACCGTATCGAACAGAAATCCGCTTTCCACCGAAGTGGTTAGGTTAAAGCTGTCGCACGCATATTTCGGCGCGCAAAAGTCTGTGCGGCATTGCTGATCGATACTGCCACCGGTCACACCAAGAGAGAAACATCCGCCGTCTTGCTCTTTCTGAGGCAACCCCCACTCAAGCCCATGTTCCCCCAGACCCCCGACACTGCCACCCCCTGTTCCTACTTCCCTGCCACCTTCAACCACAAGGGCCAAGCCCTCTCCCCTTGAGCACTCCCGACACCGTATCGAACAGAAATCCGCTTTCCACCGAAGTGGTTAGGTTAAAGCTGTCGCACGCATATTTCGGCGCGCAAACGTCTGTGCGGCATTGCTGATCGATACTGCCACCGGTCACACCAAGAGAGAAACACCCGCCGTCTTGCTCTTTCTGAGGCAACCCCCACTCAAGCCCATGTTCCCCCAGACCCCCGACACTGCCACCCCCTGTTCCTACTTCCTTACCACCTGCAACCACAAGGGCCAAGCCCTCCCCCCTTCAGCACTCCCGACACCGTATCGAACAGAAATCCGCTTTCCACCGAAGTGGTTAGGTTAAAGCTGTCGCACCCATATTTCGGCGCACAAACGTCTTTGCGGCATTGCTGATCGATACTGCCACCGGTCACACCAAGAGAGAAACACCCGCCGTGTTGCTCTTTCTGAGACACCCCCCACTCAAGCCCATGTTCCCCCAGACCCCCGACACTGCCACCCCCTGTTCCCACTTCCTTACCACCTGCAACCACAAGGGCCAAGCCCTCCCCCCTCAGCACTCCCGACACCGCATCGGCTATCCTCGCTGACGAGCGACAGTACCAGGGCACTGCAACTGACTGGCCCGACTGAACATTCCAGTGGCACCCGAGAAATGAGAGAAGGCGTGTCGCGCACGACATGTCGCTGTACACTCGTCACTCCAAACTCCCTGCTCACCACTCGTCGCCCTCTGCCCCTCCCCCACAGCCCAGGCGAGAGCGAACTCACCAGAGCACCTCACCTTCTCTAGGGCAGCCGCCGGGAAAAAGGAACACCTGCCGTCGCATCTATTCATTGCAGTAGAATACGACCTCCTTCCTAAAGCAGTGCCTCACGGTTGGTTCCAGGAGTCGACAGCAGCATAAGTGCCGAAGAAGTCATGCGTGGTCGTATGGCATACGAGGTCCCGGGGGGCTTCGCCTTCCCCGTCCTTCGTTCAGGGTATGGCCGGCCGTGCTCTTCGTAGACGGTGAGAGTTACAAGTGTGGGGTATGCCAAGTGGAAGGTACCGGTGAAGAAATCCTGATCATTTTTTTTCGAGCGAGCACTGGTCCTCTTTGAAAGAGCCGGTGTTTACCCGCGTTTTGCCGCTTTGTTCTAAAGCCCCAATTCAATGCTACTGTAGTCTATCTTAGACTCTTTTCTTAGGCCATTTGTTACGATGCCGTTTTTTAGGCTGTCTTTCTTTCAAAAAATGACAACTGGTCAAATAGCCCCGTGTTACAACGTCTTTTTTTGCTAAAATATGACAACGAAAAAATGACGAACCTTTTTTTGACAGGCTATCCTGTCATTTTTGGGCAACTTTTTGACAGGATGCGCTTGTCAAAAAGAGTTGTCATTTTTTTGAATCACGCGCCGACGTTACTGGCACACACACACAAGCATCGACAATGTGGAAGTGGCTGCCATCGCTGGCACTCCTCGCTGGCGGCGGGAGTGCCACTCGCTTGACTGCACCCTACATCAGCAGCCTGGGCTCTCTTCCGATGGCCAAAGCCGGTGTGGGTGATGCCCTGCTACCAGCAACCGCTCTTGCTGTGGCCTTGGTCGCCCTTGATGAGGTCCAACGCAATGGCTTGTCGCAAGAAGAGGAGGAGGATCGTGCGCCCGACCTTCCCCGCCCTAAACTCTCAAGAGGACAGCGAAAGTTGAAAGACGTGGAGAAATGCGCTTGGGCACAGATGTTGGAGGAAGAGGACCTCGAGGACAGCAACAGCTCAACCTCCAAGCAGTTTCGCCTTGACTTCCGCGTCCCCTACAGCTTCTTTCTGCGGCTCGTGGCGTTGGTGAGGAGCAAGGACTGGTTCACCACTTCTGGCTGCGATGCAGCAGATCTGNCAACCGCTCTTGCTGTGGCCTTGGTCGCCCTTGATGAGGTCCAACGCAATGGCTTGTCGCAAGAAGAGGAGGAGGATCGTGCGCCCGACCTTCCCCGCCCTAAACTCTCAAGAGGACAGCGAAAGTTGAAAGACGTGGAGAAATGCGCTTGGGCACAGATGTTGGAGGAAGAGGACCTCGAGGACAGCAACAGCTCAACCTCCAAGCAGTTTCGCCTTGACTTCCGCGTCCCCTACAGCTTCTTTCTGCGGCTCGTGGCGTTGGTGAGGAGCAAGGACTGGTTCACCACTTCTGGCTGCGATGCAGCAGATCTGCAAAGCCACCCAGTGGAGCACAAGGTAGGCTGACGGCATATTGGGTTCGTACGAATGCAGACTCTGGCCTATAACCAAGAACGGAAGCTGCTGTGGTGTAGAGTTGAACATACGTAGCGGAGGGACAACTGCTGTAGACAACATTTTTCTACTGTTGCCAGCTGCATGCCGTCTCTGGGGCATGCCCTACACGACTCGCTTGGTGACCGCTGGCCGTGTTCGCACAGTCGGTCTCAAATATGTTACTCAAATCGTACAGCAGTACAGATGCTCTGTCCACAATCAATAAGGAGGGGACTGCTGCTGCTGCTGTTGTGTAGAGTGCATTACAAAGGCGGAGGAACCAGGCGCATATTGTATTCGTGTATGCAGCTGCATGCCGTCTCCTGGGCATGTCGTTGACGAGACGCGGTTGGTGACCACCGGCCGTGCTCTCCAACCCTCGAAAAAAGTGCACCCGGCCGCTCTGCTGTCGTGCACAACAGCATATGTTCACTGGACAGTGTTTCGTTGGTGTTGTCTGTAGGTACAGCATGATGTACACTTTTGGTTCAACTGCTGCTATGTGCAACTGCAGCACCACCGTTGTGACGTCACATCGGGTTGAACTGGCGTCCGAGATAACGCAGGAGAAGAGCGCTGCAGTCGGCGCGACATCGCAAAGCTAAACTGGCAGTCGTTCTGTTGGCTAGCGTTCGGCGCAATACTCAGTCCTCCCGCCCGTGAGATGCTTCCACACGACGTACGGTACACGCAACCACATCACATCACTAATAATGACACCGCGATGTCCCGTGTGTACATTCCTTGTTGTACTTGCTGGTGCAGGTACTGGCCTGGCTGACCATACCCGGCAGGGGCAACTGCTTTGCAAGCATCTACCAGATGTCATGGATGAGCGCGAAGACCGTGCAGACGATGTTCCACAAGTTCTGCAAGCACTTCGCAACAATGCTCAGTCCTCCCGCCCGTGAGATGCTTCCACACGACGTACGGTACACGCAACCACATCACATCACTAATAATGACACCGCGATGTCCCGTGTGTACATTCCTTGTTGTACTTGCTGGTGCAGGTACTGGCCTGGCTGACCATACCCGGCAGGGGCAACTGCTTTGCAAGCATCTACCAGATGTCATGGATGAGCGCGAAGACCGTGCAGACGATGTTCCACAAGTTCTGCAAGCACTTCGCAAGGGAAATGTACGATGAACACATCTACTTCCCGTCGGAGCAGAACGGCGAGCTGGACCACGTCATGGAGCAGTACGACCGGCTTGGGTTTTCGGGCGCGATGGGCTCCATGGATGTAACTCATATCGGTTGGAGTAAGTGCCCCTACAATCTGGCCCGTTCCTACACAGGCAAAGAGGGGGTCCTACGATCGGGTACCAGGTCACGGTTAATCACGCTGGCCGTGCAATTGCCGTGACCGAGGGCTTCACCGGCTCGACGAACGACAACACCATCGTCTGCTGGGATGCCGCGATCGAGAAGATTCAGACGGACAAGCAGTACACGGAGAAGACCTTCGACGTGTACAACGAGGATGGCACGACGACAACGCTCAAGGGGTGCTACTTGCTAGTCGACAACGGGTACCACAAGGTGGATGGAAATGGCATGTTGTGATTTTGGGTGACCGACGATAGTGTTTTTAAAGAGGTGTGTGTCTGGCCAGAAATTGAAAGAGAGAGAGAGAAAGAGAGAGAGAAAAAGAGAAGAGAAAGAGAGAAGAGAAAGAGAGAAGAGAGAAGAGATG